TAACGTTTATAATTATTAAACTCTTGGGTTGTTTTTTGAACGTCCAGAGGATCTGACTTAACTTTTTTAGATAAACTCTAGGGGGTGCTAAAAATGCAAAATCTTTATACCTCAAAAACAACTATGATGATTTCTAACAAAATGTGTACACTTGGTTAGGACAATAACCTGAGTTGTTTCATGTAAAAAGGTAATGCAACATTGTAACATGTGGTGAAAACAGGGAACGAGTGGAAGACTACTTATAGAGGTGCATGTATTCACTTGAAGGAAGATGAATGGAAGTCAGTTGTTGCAAGACAAAGTGCATATGTTTGAATGGGAGGTGCTGGTGGAACAGTGAGGCTACAAGGAGCAGAAGTCACACAGATGCAGGACTTGAAGTTATTGGGGTCAACTATCCAGGAAAATGAGTGTTGTAAAGAGGTGAAAAACAGAGTCAAGGCAGGATGGAGTGGATGGAGAACATTTTCAGGTGTGATTTGTGACAAAAGGTTAGCAGTACACTTCAAATGAATAAATGAGAAAAAAAAGTCATACAGTGGACCAGTGGAACTAACATAAACTTGGTTAATAAACAAATTAGCCGGTGTCAACATGCATCAAGTGGCATGGACCACAGTAATAACTACTCGCAGTTCTAGTTTGGGGATTTTATTTGTCTTTATCAGTGGCATAATGACAAACTTGAGATGTATGTTTATGGTGGATACAAGTCACTGTCTAAGAGTATATTTTATTATCTTTATTTATTTGCTTCAGTTTATAAGTCAGTGCCACTTGTCAGCTTGTGTTGAAATGGTCTGTTAAGAAAACGTGCCTAAAACTAGACATACTGCATATTTATATATGCTCTGTACTGGAATTGTACTGTCAGCCATACTGTTTTTATGGTGTTAGCTCACCATAGGGCACTGCTTTCAACAGCAAATGGTCTTTTTAGCTCCATCAATCTCTATAGATTCAGATTAGCTGTATAGAGAGCTAGTAGTGTGCTGTGTGGATGGGTAAATGAGTGCACAGGTTGCAGTGTAAAGCGCTTTGAGTATCTTGACTAGATAGAAAGGTGCTATATAAGTACAGTCCATTTACTATTCATATAAATGATGATCAGCAGCTCTGCACATGCCTTGTCTTCTCTTATATCAATATTTATGTCTCTCCTGCTCACATACACAGATAATAATAAAGGGTAAGTGTAGCAGGGTAAAAGTAGAGCAATGCTGACCTATTTTGCTGGTTATAGATGGAATGACATGTTTAGTTAATGTGGCTTCACTGTGTGGTGTACATGTATTCTGAACCAAATACGCCTATGTTCAACAAGCTTTAATAATTAACATTTTCTAAAATATTCTAAGACCACGGTACAGATTATATGTACAGTTTTTGATTTCAGTCTTGATTAGTTTGGTTGCAACAACAGATACCAACATCCCAGATTCCTCAGTAGAAACCTCCTGGAATATCAATTTTGTACACCACAAATCAATCTAGTGCATTCTGCTAAAGAACAATCAAACAAAGGTATGGTGCAGTAATGAAGACCTACCCAGATTATACATTTGTAAAAAATAACCTTTTTTGTAGCCAGTCATGAGCATTTACAACCAAGTGTTTTGAACAACGTTTTGTTCTTTGTGACATTTTTCATACAATAATAAATATTAAAAATATCACCATAATTTGTGATTTTTTTTTTATTCATGAAGAATACCAAATATTAATTTGAATTCTCAACTCAAAAACATTGCCTCTCCTTTGACCATTTCACAATAAAATCATGCTGTGTTAAATACTTGTGCAGAAGAAGGAATACCAGTTTGTACTAACACAACTTGATGGATGTGGGATAATAAAATAAGGAAAATTAAAATAAAAGTAGTTGACCTTACAGATATACATTAGGAAATGTTGAGTTGTCTTGTTTTTTTTGTCTTCCAGAAAACAATTATTTAATTTATCTTTCATCCATTTCAATTCGAATGCCTATGACCTACCAAATAGGTTTACTACTTTAAAGCCTACTTGTTTACACCATTGGTTGGTTCTCTAACTATCTCTCAGACCAGAGGCAATGTGTTCAACATAATGGTACTTCCTCCAGTTATTTAACAGTCAACAATGGTGTATCACAAGGCTCAGTCTTAGGACCCACCCTCTTTACAATCTACATACATAATGTAGGTAAAAACATCCCTAATGCATCCATATATTTCTATGCTGACGACACAGTTGTTTATTGTTGAGCTAAAACTGTTGCTAAGGCTTTCCAGCTTTTGACATCTGCATTTGACATCATCCAGACAAATTTGCTCCGCCTCAAACTTGTCCTAAATGCCAACAAAGCCAAAGGGATGCTTTTTTCAAATAGGAAGTTGGTCCCAGCAGTTCTTCCTCCGATTTTATCCTCAAATGGTGTCCCCATTGAGTTTGTTGATTCCTATAAATATTTGGGTATCTTGGTCGACTCGCATCTCTCTTTTAACCTCCATGTGGAAAACTTGGTAACGAAACTGAAAAATAAACTGGGTTTCTTTTTCAGAAACAGATCCTGTCTAACTCTGAATGCTTGTAAACGCCTTGTTTCTGTGACTTTCCTTCCCTCCATTGATTACGGTGACATTATTTACATGAACGCTCCGACAAGAACCCTGCAGATGCTGGATGCTGTCTATCATGGTGCACTAAGATTCATAACTGGCTGTGATTATCGTACCCACCACTGCACCCTGTATTCACTGGTTAACTGGACATCATTAACTTCACGCAGACTCTCTCACTGGTACATTTTCATCTTTAAATCACTTCTTGGTCTGATGCCTTCATACATCTCCTCCTTCATGTCTCTGCGTGAGTGCAGCTACAGCGTACGCTCTCAGGACATTATTACCTGCAGAGTTCCTTCAGTGAGAACTGAACTTGGCAAAAGGGCCTTCTCCTACTCCGCTCCTGTTTCCTGGAATATCTTACAAAAAGACCTGAATCTCTCGACCTTGACCTCTCTAAGTGGCTTTAAGAATCTGTTGGACTCCTGGCAGGGACCAGTGCAGACATGTTCCTGTTTTTAGTTTTCTACATTCGCCTTAGAATCTAGCTGCTTCTATGTTGCTTTTCTATTTTTAGCCATCATATTTGTAAAAAAAAAAAAAAACCTGTATGACTTTTTATAATTGTTTATTGTTGTTGCTGTTGTCCATTGTTGTCATAATTCTTTGTTGAAATCAGGTCTCTCTTATAAATGAGTCCTCGAGGCTCAATTGGATTTACCTGTCTAAATAAAGGTTGAATGAATTTTTTGCTAATGTGGGTTTGTTCAAGGCCTTTTCACATGCTCCAGTAAATCTGTCATTTACAGCAAAGATGAATGGAACAAAACCTTTTTTTTTCTTTTTTTTCTTCATTATCTACTCAGTTCCAAGGGTAATTGTTTATTTTAGATGTGTGTGGTTTCACAGAAGGTGCAGCCTTTGAAATGGTTCACAAGATGAATGATCTTTTAACATTACAGGCAATTATGTCATTCAATGTTAATAAAAATCACTGCTTAATGGAAGCGTATACAACAACCAGTGGAATATGTGCACAAATGAAGAGTGATCACTTACCCATCTACTCATGAGGGGTTGAACGACCACATATTTTTTAAAGTTGACATTTTTATCATTTGACATTAACATGATAATAGCTGAGTCAACGCCAACTAGTTGGAACTCAAAGACGCTGAAAAAAAAAATTAAACTGCAAAAAAACATAATTTATTATTTACAAAAAAAAAAGAACAACAAAACATCAGAGTGTATATATTTATGCTCCTACCGTTTATCATACAGCAAATAAGTTACAGGAAAACCCAAAACTATTATTAAACCGGTGAACATTGGCTATTGTGCGAAGTGTTGGATTCTCCGGTGGAGTGCAGACCTGTTTTTTATTTTATTTTATTTTATTTAGTGGATTAAATAAAATAGGAGTAAAAACAGCATCACTTTTAGTGAAACACTTCCACACTGTTGATGAATTTCTACCAGTTTGGGAAGACTTTGCCTGCTCCTCACCTTCCATCTGCTTGGAAGAATCCGTTTTGTAGCCAGTGGCCCAGTTGATCACATGACCCGTGACACAATCACTGACTGCGACTAGACGATGTAAAATTTAAAAACTTCCGAGATGTCCTAGAATCAACTTGCCGACTAGTCTATTCAACCCCTACTACTCACCTTTCTGAATCATGACAATGTCACACTCTTTGTCCTCTAATAAACAACAACAATTGTAAATAGTCTTGTTGGTATAACTTAAAGTTTCATATTTGCACTTAAAAAATCAACAACATATCAACACATATTTTCAGTTTTAAAGAAATGGTCATATTCTAAGTTACTGTAAGAACCTTCAGTAAGACTGAAACAGAAATAAACCATAATGCAACTTTAAATGTCTGTGTAACCTCATGAAGAGGGGAAGCACTTTGTGTGTGTGTGTGTGTGTGTGTGTGTGTGTGCGTGTGTGTGTGTGATGGTGTGTGTGTGTGTGTGTGTGTGTGTGTGTGTGTGTGTGTGTGTGTGGGCAGCACAACAAATTATCCTCTGAAATCTTCATAGAGCCTACCTTGAGCTCGCTCTCATTGCTAAACCCACATTGGTGCAGAAAATAATAATGCAGAATCACACAGCGGCTATCCAGTTTAATAATACCAAAGCCTGTTCATATCTGTGGCACAGGGTTGCGTGGTTAATCCAGCATACACCCCAGGGTCAGATACTAATATTGTGTTGGTAAGCTGCGGGGTGAGTCTGGCTGTCAGGCTTGAAGCGACCAGCCCCAGCTCGACATCATCCGCTTCCTGTGAAAGGAGTTAGAGTGGGGAGGAACATAGTCCATTGGGTTTATCCACGGTGTTCAGGTGTATTGGATCGGTGTTCCTGTCAGAGAAGGACAAGAGACACCTGTTTGTGCCTGTCATGGACATAACATTCTCCTCTGGTTTGTTGTTGCAGGATTTATGAGCGGGCGATAGACCCTCCTCAGATGGAGCTCACCTTGGGCAGTGGAGTGTGGCTAGGGCAACACAGCCACAAGCATGGTTTATTCAAGGTAAGACCCTTGCCAGATAATGCACACACACACACTCCCTCTCTCTATACAACTGAACATGTTTTGTATAATTGGTCACATTTGCTGTAAGCTGTGTGGGGAAGAAATACAAAAGCGATTTTTGAATCAGAAGTGCTGAGGGCTCAGAGGAGCTGCACAAAGCTCAGCATGTGCTTCGATACGCTTATTCTCAAGGCCATCGCAGCGTTGTCGGTTTTTAATCGTGTATCGTTTTCTCAGGCTCCTGCGTGCACTCGCAGCAGGTGGGGCACATGGCGAAGCATTATCAGGACATGCACGCTGTCTTGATAGTCATAGTTCCTCCCCCTACCTGTCATGCAATCAGTGGGTTTTCTGTTTATCTTTTGTAACTTATTGATTAGACACACGGGTCTAGTGGGGTGAAAATGATTTATCCTCCCTGTGGTTTAAAACTATGCTGCCGGAGTGGAGGACTTTGTCTTGTCCCATCTATTTGTCTTCTCCTTTTTGATCTACTTTTGCACTAATACTGCAAGGAATTACTTATTGTAGGGAAGGACTACAGCAAACGACACATCTCAATCATCCCGTTCCCTCCTTTCAGTCATCTCAAGTATGTCCTGTAGAACATTTGCAGTGAGTGCTTGGATGTGAATGTCAGCAGCAGAGACAGAAGGTGTGAAAGAGAAGAGCCTTGTGTGAAGTGACATTGAATGAAGAATATTTCCCCTCAGGTTTATTCTAAGATCTTAGCATCTCAGCTGACAGGCGCACTTACTGCACCTTTTAACAGAGACTTGTTGTTTAGTGCACCAGAACAGCCATTTTGAGCTGCTTCTTGTTTGAAAGGTCCATTATACTTCCTCAGATAATCACACACTACTGTATTATATAGATGGCAATTAACTGTGTGGTGCAGAACAGTGTTTCGCTGTCCTGCACCACACAGACTGTTGTTTTCTGCTGCAATAAAAAAAAAAAAAAATAAATAAATAAATATATATATATATATATAGCTCTTCCTGCCCATGCATGTTCACTTGCCATTCTTGTTACATCATTAGCTGCTATGCAGACATTTAAAGTAGAACTTCTAATTGCAAATATAATTAATTTCAGTTAACTTGTTTGTTGAAAATGTATATTTTGAACATTTTTATCATTTAAAATAATGGAAAATAAAATATTTTATTTTCCCTTTAGTTAATTATTAATAAATTATTTTTTCAATCAGTTAATTGTACCATTGCATCATAAACAGTTTTATTTATTGTATTAATACAGATAAATCACATTGGACCTCGAAAACTCATTTACAAGTGGGACCTATTTAAACAGACAAAAAAGTAATGAAAGTGACAACATGTATACGATTTGGATGCAAAACAATTCTTAACAGACTCTTATTCCTTGGCTAAGGAATGATAGCCTGAAATTGAAAAAAACACCCCGCACATAAGCACATAGCGACGCAGTCATTCTGCAGGTGAGGGGAGATGACAAGTTGTTTTATTCATATTTGTAATCAGAGGTTTCATTGTACCTAGTAATTCTATATATTTCCATCCATTCATCCATCCACTCATCCATCCATCCATCCATCCATCCATCCATCCATCCATCCATCCATCCATCCATCCATTTATCAATCCATCCATCCATCCATCCATCCATCCATCCATCCATTCATCCATCCATCCATCCATCCATCCATCCATCCATCCACCCATCCGCTTGTTTCAAAGTCAGGTCGCTAGAGGAATAGCTTGAGCAGGGAGGCCCAGACATCTCTTTCCACATATACCTATGTATTTAAACTATTTATTTTTATTTTTGCAATTTTTTTAAATCAAACGTACATAAGTTTTACATCATAAATATTTCATGAGCTCAGTATTTGACTCAGTTACATCTTTGTTCTTGGTAAAGAGACTAAAGTCAATTATCTCAGACAGCCCTATCCATTTTTCATTAAAGAAGTTGTTTCATTTGCCAATTCTCCGTCTTTGATTAAGTTGCTTCTCTAATTGTTGATAAATAAGGATTGATTTACATTGATTATCTAATTATGTGGTTACCCTTGGTCAGGTTTATCTTGCTTTAGATGCAGCGGATACAGTTTCAACACAGTGTGCAGTACACCTTACCACTCAACACCATTGTCTTTGATGGATTACTATTGAAAAAGCCTCTTTATTCACAGTAGCAGCATTCACGTTTGACACTTTGTAGAATTTTATTGGTAATTTGAGTTTCAAATGTTCAGTTTCTTCCAAAGACATTTAAACACATTTTAAATCTTTGTTGTTGGGTAGAGACCTTGTATATCCAAAGGAAAATATTTTCAAAAACAACAATAATAAAAAATTAAAAAAATAACTATTTTAAAAAAGAAGTAAATGTTGCCACAAGTCATAAGCTTGTTTTGACAGATTTTATTGAAATATCATAAAAAAAGCAGACAGATGTAAAGGGTGACTAACAGAGCTGATGATGCAAAAACATGAAAATGGTGAAAAACAAATACACGTACAAGGTTTTCATCCAACAGCGACTGCCTTTTTGTTCTGAATTATTTTATAAAACAATCTCTGAAAAGACTAACAGTAGTTCAGACCTCAGTCACGGCCGATCTTTAACCTTCATCTTATTTAGCTTCATTTTCATTTAGCTGTCCTCCATCTCTCTCTGTGAGTTCAACCCTTAGTGCACACTCTCACACTGAGTCAATCTCGAATCATCATTTAACTTAAAGTGGTGCTTGAACGTTTGTGAAGCCTTTATAATTTTCTTTATTTCTGCTTAAATATGACCTCCAACATCAACAAAAATATTATACTTGGTCATTTATTTATTGAGGACAATGATCCAATATTACATATTTGTTATGGTAAAAGTATGTGAACCTTTGATTTCAGTACCTGGTGTGCCCCCAGCAACACCCCCCCCCCCCCGGTGCAGAAATAACTTCAACTAAACATTTCCAGTAACAGTTGATCAGTCCTGATCACCAGCCTGGAGGAGCTTTAATCCGTTCCTCTGTACAGAACAGCTTCACCTCTGGATGTTGGTGGTTTCCTCACATTAACTGCTGCTTCAGGTCCTTCCACAACATCTGGATTGGATTAAGGTCAGGACTTTGACTTGGCCTTTCCAAAACATGAACTTTATTCTTCTTGAACCATTCTTTGGTAGAACATCTCGTGTGCTGAGGATCATTGTTGCTGCATGACCACCTTCTCTTCAGATTCAGTTCATGGACAGATGTTCTGACATTTTCCTTTACAATCCTTTGATATAATTCAGAATTCATTGTTCCATCAATGATGACAAGCTGTCCAGGCCCAGATGCAGCAAAACAGGCCCAAACCATGATACTACCACCACCATGTTTCACAGATGGGATCAGGTTCTTCTGCAGGAATGCAGAGTTGTTCTTTCTCCAAACAGAACTCTTTTTATTTAAATCAAAATGTTCTACTTTGGTCTCATCCGTCCACAAAACATTCTTCCAACAGTCTTCTGGTTTGTCCACGTGATCTTTCTCAAACTGCAGACGAGCAGCCATGTTCTTGTTGGAGAGCAGTGTCTTCTCCTTCAACCTGCCATGAACCATTGTTGTTCAGAGTTCTCCTGATGGTGGACTCATGAACATCAACATTAATGTGAGAGAGACCTTCAGTTGTTAGAAGTTACCCTGGCTCCTTTGTGACCTCACAGACTATTACACTCCTTGGAGTGATGCTTGTTGGTCCACCACTCCCGGGGAGGGTACCAAAGTTCTTGAACTTCCTCCATTTGACCACAATCTGACTGACTGTGGATTGGTGGAGTCCAAACTCTTCACAGATGTTTTGTAACATTTTTCAGCCTGATGAGCATCAACAACTGTTTTTCTGAGCTCCTCAGAAATCTCCTTTGTTCCTCCATGATCCACTTCCACAAACATGTTGTGAAGATCAGACTCTGATAGATCCTGTTCTTTAAATCAAACAGGGTGAAACTCACACCTGATCATCATCCACTGATTGAAAACATTTGACTCTAATTTCACCTTCAGATTAACTGATAATCCTGAAGGTTCACATACTTTTACCACTTACAAATATTTAATGTTGGATCATTTTCCTCAATAAATAAATGACCAAGTATAAGATTTTGTCTAATTTCTTTAACCGGGTTCTCTTGATCTACTTTTAGGACTTGTATGAAAATCTGATGATGTTTTAGGTCGTACAGTATTTATGCAGAAATATAGAAAATTATAAAGAGTTTACAAACTTCCAAGCACCACTGCATGTTTTTAGACAGTCACTGGAAACTGGAGTGCCTTGGGAAACCCACATAGATAGTCCCAGGCAAGATCCAGTACCAGGACCTGGTTGTGATGCAGTCACTATGATTAGGCTACAGTTTCTAGTCTTAATAAAAAGATATCCAAGGCTTTTACATCAAAGTAGTCAAACAGCAAGAATTTAAAGGAAGGAAGTCTGATTCAGTCTGAGCACTAATGTAAGAGTTTTGAAATTGTGTCTGACAGGTCTTAATGCACCCGCTACAGAGACTGAAACAGACTTGGTCTGAGACACGTCGAGTTAAAACAAGTTGTGTAACTCCATGCTACTGTCTTTCTTCTTTTTTTTTTTTACTTTCTCTGCACATTCCTTCAACCCACACCTTATTTTAACTTGTTAGAAACAAGGAGACGGAAAGAGTCAACTCCTAATTTATCATGTTTAAAGGTGAGTGAAAGCTCCTGAGCGGAAAAAATGTGAAAGGAAAAGAAAAATAACCAAAAGCTATAAATGTAACTTCACCGGTAGAAGCTGAAGTAAAGCAGCACTTGTTAAGTCCATTCAGGTCTTAGAAGTGGGATCATGATGTGATGGGATAACTAGGCCTTAAAGTAAAACACGCTGAGCTCGTGGGCTGCTTTGAGATGCTTCTTTGCCTCTCACCACCTCCTCCTGGGAGCTTCTCCATCTCAGGGAGCAACTGTAATAAATTATCTTTGTCTA